AGCCTTTTTTAAACTATTTGGGATCAGCTACACGAATCCTGGTCTGCCATTCCGCTCTATCAAGAGTCATATCCTTAGTGAGGCTATAAGTCCCCATATCTTTTCTCACTACTTCCAACCATATCCTTTTGGGCCTACCCCTTACACTTTTTGAGCCTTCCACTTGAACCAACTCACATCTCCGAACAGGTGTCATACTAGATCTATACTACATATGGCTAACCCACTTAATTCTACTTTCTCTCATCTTATCGCTTATTGGAGCCACAACTAAATTCTCCCGAATGCATTCATTTCGAATTCTATCATTTCATGTCTTGCCACACATCCATCTAAATATCCTCATCGTAGCTACACTCATCATTTGGATATGCTTTTTCTTAATCACCCAACATTTCGCCCCATAAAGCAAAGCTGGTCTCACAGTTTCATTGGTATGCGGCGATTGCATAAAAATCCAGTTGCACCTCTCCACTTTGCCCACCCAGCTCTAATTATACATACCTTAAGTCAATTATACTTGTCTATTCCAATGTATTTTACGTACTTGTTTATTCCAATGTATTTTACTACGTGATTCTACCCTTATTTGAGTAATTTGTCTTCCCCCTTTTCAGCAAAATGGTGGGAGATACATGGAGGCAACACACTTTACCTACAAGGACTCATAATCAGGATCCATAGCAAACATGTTCCCCTGTAGGGTGTGAGAAATACACTATATTATAGTAGATCCACACACCAAGGTTGAACACAGGTGAAAAGCGAGAGGTTCAAATGCACTATAAATTGTAAGGAAGAGGAATAGCCAATGAGCCAATCCTCACATCTCCGAACAGGTGTCATACTAGGTCTACACTGCATATGGCTAACCCACTTAATTCTACTTTCTCTCATCTTATCGCTTATTGGAGCCACAACTAAATTCTCTCGAATGCATTCATTTGGAATTCTATCCTTTCTTGTCTTGCCACTCATCCATCTCAACATCCTCATCCTAGCTACACTCATCCTATAGATATGCTTTTTTTTAATCACCCAACATTTTGCCCCATAAAGCAAAGTTGGTCTCACAGTTGTCCTGTAGAACTTCCCCTTCAGTTTCATTGGTCTGCGACGATTGCATAAAACTCCAGTTGTGCCTCTCCACTTTGCCCACCCAGCTCTAATTATACATACCTTAGGTCAATTATACTTGTCTATTCCAATGTATTTTACGTACTTGTCTATTCCAATGTATTTTACTTCGTCATTCTACTCTTATTTGAGTAATTTGTCTTCTCGCTTTTCAGCAAAATGGTGGGAGATACATGGAGGCAACACACTTTACCTACAAGGGCTCATAATCAGAACCCTAAGCAAACATGTTCCCCTGTAGGGTGTGAGAACTACACTACATTATAGTAGATCCACACACCAAGGTTCAACATAGTTGAAAAGCGAGAGGTTCAAATGCACTATAAATTAAGGACGAGAAATAGCCAATGAACCAATCCTCAACAACATAATCCTTAAAGAAGCAATCGATCTTAGATGAAATAGAACAGAACATGGGCAATGGCAAGACTCGACATGAGGGAGAACGTGTTCAACATGGGTAAGATGATGAGGCCTTGGATGATAAAGAAGATAAGTAGATCTAGTGGTCGAGGTGATGAGCAACAGGGGGGCGAGTATGAGGAAGCTACTAACATTAGAGGTGAGCATGGGGGTCGGATTAGCCTTGAAGACTTTGGATTAGGGGCTAGCTAATAAACACAAGCATTGGAGGGCAATATGAAACAACCAGAATGGTTATGATCTTCCACGACATTCATATTTGTTGTAGACCGTTGTTTAGAATTGGAATGCGCCCTTTTCTACATCATCGTGTCTCTAAACTTTAGTGGACAATGTATTTGCTTGTCTCTAACTCTCTGTGACTCTACTATTATAAGTTGGATATTTGGTCAACTTCTTAATCTTTAATATGAAGTTGGTACTTGATAATTGGTGGGAGACATCTAAATTAGTAATAAAATTAAAGCAACCTTATCAACATGTACAAGTTAATGTTTCAGTTTTTTTCATTTGTATAAAATTTCATGGATTTTTAATTATTTTTCCTTCTTCTATTTTTCCTGATATTTTTCCCCTATTTTCCCATTTTTGGACTGAAACAAGACTAGACAAGTCAACTCAAAAATAGCTGAATAGACATGCACCAAGCCATGTTTGGTTCCTAGTGTGAGTCCATGGTTTAAAGCAATAGGTTTAATAGTTGAGGCAGGTACATGATGCTGAAGCATACAGGCATATATAATTAGGGAATGAAAGTCAACCCGACCTCTACTCAACAAATGTTCCAAAGACAATGGCACAAGTTTCAGTGAAAGTGCCTAGTACTTCTCTGAAAATGGGAGCAAAGCAAGACTCTCTAGAATACAAAAACATACGTGCACGCTCGCATGGACGCATGCGTGCGCACACACACACACATGCACATATAATGGGATTGTAAACTATAATAACCTTTACCTTTGGACAAAGATGTCACAATCACTTACAGCCGTAAGATGTGAAATCTGATAGCTTGGGTGCATCACAAAGATCCAAAATCTTTTGAACTTTGAGCCTAGTCAATGGAACAAATGCAACCACCCAATTTCTCATCGAATAGTCAAGATTAATCGTGACCACAATGTACCAAATATAAGTGGTCTTTTGTATACGGTTCCATATATAACACATATAAGTGGCTCTTTTTTTTTCCCGATAAACACATACAAGCGGCTTGTTGAGGGCAAGACCCATGTCCTAATTTCAAGCCCCAATCTTGAATTCTTTTGATACATTTCAATATATTCAATTCCAACCATGTCTAGATGTGTCACAGTCACGATACATGATAACATGTGACACCCCTTTGGTGGAGTGTCGAGGTAAAACATCCTACAACCTCATAGGCAGGCACCAAGAACCCTCCTCAAGTCAAAGGAAGGTAGAAAACGTTGACACCACCTCTAGCAGACTTCCTACACAGTAGAGGCATCTACTCCCGTTAATGGTGAGTTTAGCCACTTCCGTGCCATTGTAACTTCATGAAACAATAAAGAGAGAAAGGTCATGCAGCCCACTGCAAGCCCATTAATCTCAATTCCCATTCTGTATGAGATCATCTCATCATTATCCAAGCCTTATCCCTACTATCTGGGGTTGGCTACACAAATCCTATTCCACCATTCTATTCTATCAAGGCCATACCCTCAGTCAGATGACCATAAGTCACCATATCTATTCTGAACATTTCTATCATGTCCTCCGGTGCCTTCCTTTTGCCCTTTTAGAGCCTTCCACTTGAACCAAATCACCCCTCCTAACTGGTGTTGTTTTAGGTCAATGTTGCGCATGACCAGACCACCTAAGTCTACTTTCCCTTGTTTTATCGCCTAGTGGAGCTAACCCTAAGTTAGGACCTTGCATGAGACCAAAATCCACACTTAGCACGACTGATGCTTTTTTGTTTCTGGTATAGAATTAAAATCCTAGATTTATCTACTCACATGGTGGCATATTAGATCTTACATTTCACCATAACTTTTTTGTTTGGTGTCAAACCAAAAAGTGGCATTTTGCTGTTTTTGATTAGCAAGAGAAATCTAACCCTAAGGTAAAATGGGCATGTTTTAATATTATGGTTGCAGTTTGAGGGAAGAACATTGAGAGCCCTCCTTGAGTAGATTCTAAAAAAGATCTAATTTTGTATGTACATTCATGAAGGATGGATTCAAGAAATATACGCATATAAAATTTAAAGAACAACAAACTTTGTTATTAAAGATGCAACAAATATGAACTACAAACTATAGTAACAGGTTTACTCTACAAGAAAGATGCAAAAGAAAATTTTAAACAAATCATTAGATTTTTGCCAGAAGAAAGATGTAATGGGATGCCTCAATTAAAAATTAGAGTACAAAATGTTCCATGCAAAATAATAAAATGGACATCAGAGTACTTTGTTTCTAACATTCAGTTAATGCATGCATCAAATTGTAAACAGTTAATACAAGCATAAAGAAACAATAGATGGTTCATTATATAGGCATCGGGTACTAGTGCATTACTTAGATAATACAAATATAATACAACTTAGAGAGACAATTTTCTGAGAGTACCTGGTCTCCATCCTTGATTCCATAGGAACGCAATGATGCCTTGTCATCAACTAGTTTATAACCATCATAAGATAAGCAAAAATGGCCCCAAACATGAGACCTACACAAACCAAACTGATAGCATTAGCCTATGTTCAGTGAATAGCACAAGCTAAAAAGACATCCTTGAATATGCATGTGTAATAGAAGTTTTCTGCAATGGTGTGCATCTCCAAGGTGATGCACATTGTTACCAAGATGAAGGAACTATTTTGGAATACAAAGTTTACAAATAATCAAAATAATAATAGGTAAGAGCGAGCATGCAGATTGTGACAAAAAGTACATCACCAAAACAGTTTCAGAATCTTGAGGTAAAAAATACGATAAGCAAAAGAAACCAACATCATAATTTCAGCAATAGCCATGAATTTTGCATGTCTAGTTTAATATTTAGGTAGTACACTCTCAACAACAAGTTGTGAAAGAAAGCCATAGTACTAATCTACAAAAGAAACAGAAGAAATACAATCTTACAGTGTCTTCGAATGGGTACACTAAGTTATGAGCAATGAAACTAAATGACCTTTCCACATTAACTGAATCCCAAGGAAATCAGAAACATTTGGATTTCTACAATAACTTTGAATTCAAATGAGGTACACATGCAAATCAGAATAAGGCTCAGAGCGTACCAAGAAATTTTGCCATGGCTCTCTTTGGGCGACTGACTGAACACTTCTTCAATGGCCTGTTTAAGTTCGAAAACCAATGCTGTCTTCTCAACTTGCACCTCTACCACAAATCAACATCCCCAAAGACTCAGAAAACAAAAACGAGCACATGCAATAGAAAAGAAAAACATCAAAAACCAACAATAAAGAGAAGAAAGTCCCATCATTTACCAAAAGACGAGCCATCCAATTTAAGAACAGAGAGTCTGAGCCGAGGTTGAGGGAGCTTTGCATAGGAGAAGCTCCGGCGATGGTTAACCCTGCAAAATCCCCCATCAATCTCAGAGAACACGACCTTATGACGCCTTTGTTGCGGAATGGGAAGCCACTTCTCTTCCTGTGAAATGTCAGGCATGCTCTCCTTCTTTAATGGCCCCTAAACCTATGACAATTGCTCTGGTAAAAGGTGCCAAACGAAGATTCAGAGATAAACCCACCACTGTTTTCAATGGAGAAACCAGAACCTGGTCTTATTCTCATGTCATTACTTTCTCGCATTCTACGGGTAAAGAGGGGAAATTGTGGGTGGGGAACAATTGGGTTCAGTGAAAGAAAGTGAGAAGATTGAAACCTGAGTTTTCCTCAGAGAGAGAAGCTGGGATTTTCCAAGAGAGAGAAAGAGAAAGGACAGGAGCACAGGGTTGAGGAAGCGGCTGCGGACCTGGGGTTTCTAGAGAGAGAGGGTTGGGGGATCCTGGGTTTTCTAGAGAGAGAGATAGAGAGAGAGAGAATGATGGGATTTCGTTCGGTTCCTGTGGCTTTGAAAACGGGCCGTTGTTTATTTAAAGAGTGAACACAACGGCTACGTGTGCATGTCGGGACCCACACCGAGTATCACTGCCTCGTCCACATAAGTGCAGTGTCATACATAGGCACACGTATACCATAATTTATGTTATTTAATTTCTACATATATTTTTTGTGTTTTGACCTTTTTTTTTTTTAGAAAGTTTTGAAACGGACCAAATTCGGTATTTCTCAAGTCTTCAAGGTCTAAAAATAAATGGAAAAATATATAATGAGGCCATTTACTTTTTGGTACAAAGGGAGATATTAATCTTGACCATTGGATGTGAAATTGGTTTGCTGTAATTATTCCATTGACCAAGCTCAAACTTGAAAATAAATTTTTTGAAACTTTATGATAACTATCAAACTTCACATCGGATGGTTGTAAGTAATTGTGACCACCTTATATCAAAAGTAAATGGTCTCATTGTATACAATCCCGAAATAAATATATTCAAAATTAAGTATTTTTCATGTCTTCAAAGTCCAAAAATAAATATGTTCAAAGTTCATACATGAATTTTGGATCTAAAATTTCACATGTCAATAATCTCCGACTATCATGATCATATATATATATATAGAAAGACAATGGATTTTAGACATATTAAATACACTATTTCAAATTTTTCTTTGGAATGATTTTGAACTATTGATTCTAATTCTCTTAAATAAATCTCTTTCTTAAGTTTAAATTCTTTTTTCCGTTTGAAATTCACAATCATGGTTGTTGAGATTACCCCCATGTAAAAGTTTAGATAAAAAAATACATCTCTTAATGACTTTTGAAAGGGACACATGATTGCATTTAAACTTTCCCCCTGCTTCTAAAGCACATTAGACTCGTAGTAAAGAAGATATCCCTTATATAAGTGAATGCTTTTTCGATTGACAAGGAATCTGTGTTGTATCTTGAACTTTTGCTTTAACTTTCCTTGGAATGCACACATTCTTTTATTTGAGGGATTGAGACTATTTATTTATGGGATTATATATTATGAGATTATTTATCTTTGTTACAAGTAGGTCAGAATTACTCCCAATTATTAGATGTCAAATTCGATGGTTTGGACTATGTCATAAAGTTCGAAAAATGTTTTTCGAATTCTAAGTCTAGTCAATGACATTTTTACAACCACCCAATTCAAAATCTGATGGGCATGAGTCATTATGACCTCCTTGTATCACATATAAATGGTTTCAAACTTTGTGACATAGTCCAAACCATTGAATTTATCATCTAATAGATAGAAGTAAGTGTGACCTCTTTGTAACAAAGATAAATGATCTCATAGTATACAATTCTTTTAAGCATCTCTCCTAATTTCAAAGTTTGCTTCATCAAAGGCAATTGTAACATATGTCCAATTTGAAAAAAGATTTGGTGATCCACAAGTTATAATACGAATTGGACATGATATTTTGCCCCTTAAGCTCCCATAAATCGTTAGCATTTTGCCCCTTAAGCTCCCATGAATTGTTAATGGGTGCGGTTTCTATAATGTTGCAATCTTAAACAATCCAATTCAAGCGCACCTTTTAATTTTATTAGAACATGTAATTTTGGTATAAAAAATTCTTAGGATTATCTGAAAATCTATTTTCATATCTAATTATAAAATTTTAAAATCAAGTAGATCTATAAACATATGAAAATCTTGAAAATAGACGGTTTAGATAATGTGTTGCGGCATGCACTATTTCTAGGACTTTAAATCTTTTTTTTTCATATTCATACATCCTGATGTCAAGACGATCAATTAGAGGGCTTTTCAACATTAAAACAATCTTTTTTTTATGATTTTTTAGGTGCATCCTTAATTTTACATTTTAAAATTACAACCTTATATAAACGTTTTCCATTGTTAATATGTTAACTTCTCTTTCAAGTAGAGAGAGAGAGATAGAGAGAGAATATGATAGTTTGCCCCTTAAGCTCCCATGAATCGTTAATGCATTAACTTCTCTCTCAAGTAGAGGGAGAGTATGTGTGTTTTAAGTGTTTAACATAGTTAAATAAGTAAAAGATAATCATCTTAGGGGAAGTATAAGGTTAAGGCAGAGAAGACATTCTTTCTTGGTACTAAACCATGCAAATATTTATTGCCATGACCACGAAGTTCAATTAAGCATATTATAGGTGTTATTTAATACCTTTAACAGAAAGATCTTTGTTTGAATCAAATTCTTCATCTTGTACTTGATGTATGGCCAACGTTGCATTTACACAGTGCTTTTCTCTTTATTTTAGTGTGGGTTTTATTGGGCTATTCTTTGCCCCTATTTTTTATTCCGAGATTAGAATAAACTAAGAGATAGTATACGACGAGATCATTTACTATTGTTACAAGGAGGTCACAATTACTCTTAGCCATGAGATGTCAAATTCAATGGCTTGGAGTGCGTCATGAAGTTCAATTTTTTTTTTTTGAACTTTGAGTTTAATCAATAACAAACTTGTTGGGTTCATGTGGCCTTTAAAGGCCTTATGAGTGCTTGTAAAATGAAATGATATGGTGGAACATGAACTCAGTGGGAGTGTGGTCCCTCGTGGACCATACTAAGCAAACGATGATTTGCTGATACTGATATGTGCTTAACGATTTAGGCTAGTCGGTTTGGAAAAACCCATATTATCTAGGCATGAAGAACAAACCGATGAAGGCTTATGGGTTATGAGGTCAGAGAATATGCTAGGATGAGTGAGCCGAGGGACTGTGTGACCATTGTGTGTGATGGTGGCCTACAAAGACATGGGTCAAAACCTCATCCATATACCATCACATGGCATACATATCGATAGATCGTTCAGGAAAGCCAGAAATTCACCTTTTAGGGTGAAGCATATGCATGTGCGAGAGATACCCTTATGCACTATAGTAGCTACGGTCGCATCAGGTCTAGGTGACATTGACTCGTCTATAGGGGAGGACCTGAAATCCATAGACTGGGATTGCGATCCCTTGTCTCATCAGCCGGACTTTGATGACCCGCTAATGAGCCCCTGTTTGGACTGTGGGTCATGAGAAACACTAGCTCGGTCTGATAAAGCAAGTGTGGTCTGTAGTCCACAGTTGAAAGTGGAGTGCCCCATGATTGTTGATTCCTAAACTATATGGATCATTTTCCCATCAAATTAATTTAATTGTATTTATTTTATGATAGAAATTATTTTAATATTATTATTTGAACTTTTATGAACCCTTGGATATTTTATTTATAATTTTTGGATTTATAAAATTAAATATATTGATTTTACAATTGTTTAAATATTCGAATAATATTCGAAAATCCTTTTATTAATTTAAAATATATAAAAATATCATAGGGGGCTATTGTGCACATGGGCCCACCATATTTTTAGAAGGTGGGGCCCATGAGTGCCTCCCTTGGGTCGCACACCCCACCCTTACTCTCTTTCTTATTTTTTTGGTGAAATGACATGGCCATATGGTTGGAAGATATGACTAAATATTAACTTGATATATCTTTGAAAGATTTTGTGGAAGATTGAGTAGACTTGTGTTATTTTATGGTATGCACAATATTTTGATTAGATTTAATTTATTTAATTTCTATTGATGAGAAAATGGTTTAGAAAAGGGGGATAATAGTTCATGCACCTTCCATATTGTTGATGGCCCATCTATGGAATGGATGGCTCAGATCTCTCACCTTACAAGTCACCATTGATCGACGATCTATGTTCAATCTCACAAGAGGTAAGTAAAATAAAACCCTAAGAAACCTTAATTTTATTCAAAGCCTTTTTCTCTACCAAAAAATCTTACAACTTATCTTTATATCTCTCTCTTAAGAAAGTTTATCTCTCTCATGTTTGATCTCTCTCTTTCACATTGTGAAAAAACCTAATGGTTTAGGTTATGGAGTTCTTCTCTCCTATCTCTCAGGTTATGGAGTTCTTCTCTCCTATCTCTCAAATATGGATTTATGGCTAAGGGTTTTAAGGTTTAATCCATCTCTCTCAAACTAGATTCCTAAGAGAATTCACTTAGGGTTTGAGTTTGTGATCAAAGGGGTTCACGTTCCATTGGTGTGGCTTGGCCGAAATTTACTTTCCCGGTTCGAGATTGAAGGTAGATCGTTAATCCCACGCCATCGGATGGTGGTGACTCGTTGTGGGGTGTAATAAACCCGGTTAAAGTAATCTCCGATACTCTTCTTTTTGTTTCTTGCAATCTTATCTTTTATTCTCAAGCATAGTGCATAGTTGTTTCAATGGCATCAAGTTGTTAAGATCTTGGTTTTATTGTTATGTTGATTTTATTTTGAAATTTATCTTATTATAATAAAGACCACATGTAAGTGA